TTAATAGTATCCGGGTTTCAGAAGCTCTGGAAACACTTGCTGGCAGTGCCTCGTGCAACAGGGGAGTCCTACACATAATGAATGGTCCTGGGAAAGACTCAGTGGAAAACCAGCTTGGTCCTTTAAACTTCTCTTCCCCTTCCTGACACATTGGAGGCACCTTTCTCCGGCTTCACACAAAATCCTGAAAAGAGAGAGGCCCATTCACTGCACCTTCTCTTCCTGCTTCATGGAGTCGTTCTAGGCTGTTCCGGGACAGCTCTAGTACTTGCAGAGGTCAGACTCTAGACCCGGTCTCCTCGCATTTCTCCCCTGTGCTGCTCCGGGCTTGTGCTCGTCTGAGACTCCTGGCAGGCTCTCCGAGCCAGCCTTTTAGAGGGGGGGGGGCTGTGTCTGTACTCTACTTGTTTTTATTTTCTGGCAATAAAAAAAAAAAAACACCCGCTTCTCCTCAAACTCCGCTTGTCCTCGCCTTTCCTTTTACTCTTTCCTTCTCCTCGTTTTCAGCTGCTGAGAACTCAGGCAGAATCGGCTGGTCGGAGATTTATTTATTCCGTTTTCCCTTCGCCTCTACCTCAACGTTGGCAGAGAGAGAGAGAGAGAGAGAGAGAGAGAAAAGAGGCTACGGCCCTTCTGCGTCGACCGAGGGAGACCCCTCCACCCCCGCCGCCCATTTATATTTAAAACACCGCCAAGAGCCGGGAGTGGGGGAGGGAGGACGCCAAAGCGCCCACCGAGGCCTTTTGCCAGGATAAAAGGGAAAGGAAAGAAGAACTGAACACACGCTGCAGCCGAGGACTTCATATGACCTTCAAGAGAAACGCAATTACCTGTGGCAATTAGTATTGTGTAGTTCAGAGGGGGGGGGGTTGTGTGTGTGGGGGCGTGACGGGCAGAGAGGAAGGCACAGGTGCTCTCTCGCTGCTGCCGCCGCAGAACCAGCCCACCTGGCTCAGGAGGCAAAGCGAGGAACAGCCTGCTTGGGGCTGGAGGTCAGGAAGTCCGCCCCCCTCCCCCCTCCCCCCTCCCCCTCCCCCCACCCCCGGCGGAGCGAGAAGTCCCCCTCCGTGGCGTTTCCAATCCCTGCCTTCTCTTTCCCCTCCCCCATCACCCTCCTTCCCGCCGCGCTGCTCCAGCGCGCTTCCCTCTTCAGTTCGGCTTTTGTCAATCGCAGGAGCGAGAGAGCCAGAGAGGAACCCTCCCCCGCCCTCCCCCATCTCTCTCTCTCTCTCTCTCTCAGCCGCCCGAGGAGCGGCCGCGGCGTGTTTACTCCCAGCTCCCGCACCAAAGCGCGTGCGCCCGCGCGCGCCCCCCTTCGAACGCTCCGAAAGAAGGGCAGCAGCTCCTCCCGAAGCGCCCGCTCCTTGCGGGCTTCCCGCCACCACACGCAGACCGGCGCGCTGAAGGAGAGGCGGAATCTCTCGCCTCTTAGCCCGGAGGTCGGGATATTTAGGTTAATCGGACGGGCTGGGATCCGCCATCCCCTCCCCGCTCCCTAAGGACGAGGCTCGGGGTGGGGTTCAGAGGCCAGCAAAAGTTAAACCGCTCCCAGAAGGAAAAGGCCAGCGAGCGCGCGGCCATCCACCATTTCTCCCAAGGTTTCAAAGCCGAGGAAGGAGCCGGGCTTACTGGCCGCCGAGACCTCCCACGCCGAGGGCAGGAAATGGGCCGGACACCGAGAAAGAAAGGCGCGGGGGTGGGATTCAGAGGCCCAGGACGCTGCAGGGCCCGGCGGCCGAGTTGCTCCGGCTAAGGAGAGCCCGTGCCCACGGGAGCCCGGCCGCCTTGTCCTTTCCTCTCTGCCGTCGTCTCCGTCCCCGTCTCCCTCGAAAGAGGGAGCCATCTGGGGTTGGGTGGCTTCTCATCTCATTACCGGGCATTAGGCGAGCCAGGCAAATATACAGCTATTAAAATTAATCGTCTCGCGCTGTCAGCTGAACATAATGGAAATTATTTATAGGCTGCCGCCTACGTGGCGTTCACCGTCAGAGAAGCCTCGGCGTGGTCGATGGGGAGGCAGGCGAAGCGATGGGTGAAGGGGAGTCGCGGAGGGTACCGATCCGCTTAGATCTCCAAAACGTTGGCAAAAGAGATGAAAGGCAAGCGGCCGGTAGCAGCGGTGGCGGCGTGTCGAGAGAGGAAACGCGTCTTCACACCTCCCGCGCAATGGGTCCGGGGTAGCGGGCGCCTTGCTTGGAGAGAAGTTGACGATAAAATTCCACCTAGAAGGAAGGAGCAAACAGGAAGGGCCCTTGCGTTTCTGTTGCTAGATGCGGAAGGCAGATAGGCATGACTAAAGAAATGGCTCTCCAAAAGAGATCCACTGTCATCTATTTTTTCCCTCTAAACTTAGTACCTTTCAAATGACAGTGAGCTTGATCCAATACTCATAACACGAGTCTGCTTTAAAATTCTTGTATTGATTGTGACATTTCAGAAAGTTTATTTCCCAAGGAGATTAATAGATTTTGTTTCCAGGTAAATTACAGATAAATTGCTTTATTTTGGAATATTCAAGACTTAATTTGCAAGAAAATGAGCTTGGTGGTATTTCTTCATTCATCCTAGAGCTGCTTTGACTCTGGAGACTAAATGACATATTTAAATGGCATAGGCCTGTTGTTTACAAAGGAAAAAAAAATATCAAGCCATTGGCAAACCTACAATTTGCTTTTCTGCATTTAAGGCTTGAATGTTCGTAGGTGAACCAACACACTAACACTTAACTGCTTCAGACTGAGGGGCTTTGAGGTTTATCTTTTTTTTTTCTTTTCTTTTTTAAGAATGTCCTCCCACTCTGGTTTTAGAAGGCCGGGGAAATAAGCCAGATTGAAGGTGGGAGGAAGGCAGCCTCATTCCTAGCAAAAGATGACCTATTGAAATGGTTCAAATGTAGATATACATAGTGATAATTCACAAGATAAAGGACCTGACTAATCCTATGCAAGCACACCCTCTTGGTGTGGGAGAGGCAGGGGTGGCTTGCTTGGGGGTTGTGGGCGGTGGGGAGAGAATATGTCATAAGAAAGAAAGGGGAAGTGAAAGAGGCTCTGCCAGGCTTGGGAGGTTAACAGTCCACAGCTCTTTTTCCAGTCTGGTGGGAGAGGGGGGCTGACTCACAGCACAGCAGGTAATTGACAGCCTCCACCCCAAATTGAAACATTTGTTAACAGCAAGGCCACATATCCTGGAAGCTATCTGAGAGATCTTGCTGCATTATTTGAAATCCTTCGGAAAGAAGATGTGATGAGGAGATGTCCAGCACATTTCTCTAGGACAGTGGTTCTCAACCTGTGGGTCGGGACCCCATTTCACGGGGGGGGGGGGTCGCCAAACAAGGCTGTCCGCCATTTTTTCCCCCTTTTCTTTGGCCATGCCCCTGGCACCCGGTGATGTATAAGTGGTTGGGGGTCACCACAACATGGGGAACTGTATTATGGGATCGCGGCATTAGAAAGGTTGAAAACCACTGCTCTAGGACCTGTGAATCAGCTCCACAGCCTTTGAAGGAAAATAAAAGAGGGAGTCTTCCTATCTCTTTCCAGACAGAGCTAGTCAATTTCAGGAGCCTGTATTCTGTTGTGTCCCCAAGGCAAAGTCTCTGTCACTCTGGACCCTCCTATTAATTAGGCTTTCAGAGGCTGGCTTCAATGCTAAACATCCAACTCAAATATATTGATCACATTCTATATTCCTCCTCTTTAGGCAAGCAAGAACATTTCATATGCAGCCTCCCAGGTCGTGTGGATCTTTCAGTACATGCTTCTGTGTTTTGCATCTTGATTTCCAATGCATTCCTTATGCACTGGGCTGAAAGGGAAAAAGCAGACTACATTATTTATTACCATATGAAGTTCACATCTGACCAACTGGGATTCTTATACTTGGCATGAAAGCCAGTTTGGTCTAGTGCAGTGGTTCTCAACCTTTCTAATGCTGTGACCCCATAATACAGTTCCCCATGTTGTGGTGACCCCCAAGTGGGTGTGGCCACCAATAAGAGGGAGTAGGACAGCTAGGGAAAAGGGAAAAAAATGGCGGACAGCATGGTTTGGCGACCCCTGTGAAATGGTCGTTTGACCCCAAATGGGGTCCCGACCCACAAGTTGAGAACCACTGGTCTAGTGGTTAGGCCACCAGGCTAGAAACCAGGAGGTGGAGAGTTCTAATCCTGCCTTGGGCATGAAAGCTGGCTGGGTGACTTTGGACAAGTCACTCTCTCACAGCTTAACCCACCTCATAGAGTTGATGTGAGGAAAATAGGAGGGAGGAGGTGTATTAGGTATGCTCACTGCTTTGAGCAATAAATACATAAAAACTTAAGTAAATAAGGAATCTATAGTTCAAGAAAGGATGGTTCTACCACCACAGCCCAAGAGGTGGTCATGCTTTTTTTTAATTTATACATACCTAGTAAGGATATACCCCAATCGGTATCGCTCAGGTATATTGGAATCCTCAGGTCTCACCATCAATATATGTTGAATAGAGAGATTTCCTAATAGCTATTTAAGCACCATAACTATGGCACAGCAATGTTAAAGACAAAGGTGTCTTATCTGCACTGAGAAATATTCATATCTGTAGCTGAGATGTAAGGTATTTGGTCTTTCAAGTTTGTTTCAAAAAGCATTTGTGTATGGGTGTGGTGTGTGTGTGTGTTTACCTCATTACAAGAAATTGGCACAAATGTTTAAGGGAAACTACTCTTCTGTGATGAGGGTGTTATTGATTAAAGCCACAGTTCTGAACATACACATGAACTTTAGTGTGAGTTATGCATATGCACACAACTCTTATTTAACTCGTTGAGAAGTTGGATTTAATCCTGCAAGTAAGATGTTGAGCAAAATGTTGCTGGTAAAACTAGACTAATACTTAAACATTTTCTAGACAGTTATTCATTAATATTCAGGTTAGAAAAATGCTGTTTCTCTCCTCCCTCTACTTAAAGTCCATCTATAACAAGCTTTGTAATTCTGTTCTTTCAGATGTATATTTATGACCTCCAGATGTAATAGGTTTCAACTTCCATAATCCTCCAGCAGAATGGCAAATGCAGATAACCAGAGTTTTGGCTAAGATTTCTGGAGACACCAGCTGATGAAGCCTTATTCCAAACAGGGATGGGTAACCTTTGCCCTCCAGAATTTGTTGGATTCCAGCTTCTAGCAGCCTTAAACAGCATGACTAATTGAGATGATTTATGCAGACCACCAATCTTTGTGAACCACAGAATGTCCACCTTTCATTTCTGCATTTTTTATTCTTGATTCTAGTTGACTAATACCTGCATTTTATGAATAAAGACAAAGCACTAGGATAGAGGCAAGATCAGTTTGGAAGCTTTTCCATTGTCCCTTATCTCAGCAATACTTTCCAAGTATATCCGCAAGAAATGGCAGCCACTATAAATTCACAAGAAATATTTTTTTAAAAAAAGGTTAAATGGATTTCTTATTTTCTGAGCTGGCAGGTTACTATTTTATTTGATTGTTATGAAGTTACATATATTCTCTTCAATAACAGGTCAATTTTGCCATTCACAAAAGGAAACACCCAGCTTTTTCAAGAGATTCAGGAAGTTAAACTTCATTTTAAATTATCCTTGTAATGTGAAGGATGCTCTCTCATTTACATTACATGTAAGACAGACACTGAGTAGGCAGTTTGTTTTAAATGAGTGGGGCGAAAGAACAGGATGGGAGATTAGCAGACACTGTTATGCTCCAGAAACAATGTGATCCTACACTCTTTATTATGCTTTACTTTGCATCTGTGCATTTGAAGCCAGAGCATTGCAGAAAAGTCCACTTAATCCCGAATCACTAAAGAACATTCTAAAAGAGGGGAAAAACAAGAAAAGGAGGAAGACTTTCCACAGTATTGGATTAAAATGCTTCCTACTGTTCCTTGAATCAGCACAAAACAATGCTAACATAACAGTTGCCATTTCCATTGTGAAAGTCTGTGCTGCCTAGTGTATCTGTCCCAAGATGAAGCCAAAATGGTCTTGTCCTAGAAGAGGGAGAATATGCCAATGGTTATAAGCAAGACAGCTGGTTTTCTCTTTTGGTTGTGTTTCTTTCTCCTTTCAACCTATCATCACCCAGTGGGAAAACACTCACTGCAGAACGAATGGGATAACTCTGACTTTGAGGCTCTATCTGAAATTCTCTTAAGTTGGTAAGCCTATTCCTCTTTCCACATGCTATTGGATATCTCCCAAGTTAAAATCATGTGACATTTAAAAATAGTGCATGGGAACACACTAGGCTAGGGAAAAATAACCTCGAAGAGAATGGAAGCAAATCCTTCTATCATTATTCAGTTAGGAAGTGCCAGTGGAAGCAGGGAGGAAAGGCAGATCTGTCTGCATTTTAACCCTAGCCTCCAATTAAAGATTCATTTGTGAATAGGATGGAGGTGGATTAGCATCATTTCCTCTCCTCCCATACCATATACCATGAAATAAAATTCATTTTGCTGTTCTCAACTTTGTTGGAAGCCTGGAGAGTTGTTTCCAGAATTGTGGGGGATGGGGAGGAGGGGTGTGGTGGGAAGAAAGAGGTAAAGAAAATACAGAGCAAAACACACCTTTGCTTACACCTACTACTAATAACCTACTCTGAAGTAATAGGTATTGATGCACATTAAAGTATCTGAAGCTTCAGATGCTTTAAGGCTGTTGTTTCAGAATAAGAAGCAGGTATTCTTTCATACCTGTGCTGCTAATAATGACTTAATGACTTGTTCAGGGGCTTGGGAGAAGCTAAGGATGACGTTCTGAGGTCAAGGCAAGAAAGATGTCAGGGTTTTGGTGCAAATGAGGACAGGGCTTAAGGTAAAATCAGAAGGCTTAATATTGAAGGGGAATGTATGTTCTGAGGCTGTTTTTCTGCAACAAAGGTTGTAAAAAGACCGACTCCCCGAGGGACTAAGCAGATTCCTGTTCAAGGATCTGACCAGCATATCTTACATTTTTCCATAACATTTCCTTCTGTGACTCACATTATTCCATTCTGGTAGGACAAGGAATTTGTTTTCATGTCACAAGTACCCAATATTTACATAAATTCAACCTCTAATAATCTAGTGCAGTAGGAATCCCAAGGCTTTTCTGAATGGGAAACAGCACAAATGTAAGGCTCCTCCAGCTGAGCTTGACTACAAGGTAATAGTTCTGTAATTTTTTTTTTGGCAACGGTACAAAAGGGTCTGTCATTGCCTTCTTTTGGTCTGTGTTTGTATGTGTGCTTTTAGTCTAGTCCATAGATCCTAGGGATCTCCTATCCAAGGACCTTCCAAGCTTGATTCTTTTTTTAAATCAATCATGCTTGGCTAGGTGCTAAATCTGAAGAAAAGAGTGGTCATAAAATTTAATCTAACATATCTGCAGCCTCCAGTAACCTCTTAGAAAATTTTAACTTCTTCAAGTCCAGAAAGAATATTTTTTCCAGATAAATGTGCTTCCAGCATTGGTGCCTTACGGGTCATGTGAGACCGCTGGCGTCCAGTGGAGCTCATCCCATTTAGCTCAAGAAAGCAGGCAGGCTGGCTCTAGCCAGAGAGCTAGTCTTAGGGGCCACTTCCATTACTGCAGCTTTCTTGGGGAGTGGAACAAATCAGTCTGCCTGTGTGGGAAACCTCCTTTCCTCTTATTTACTCCTCTGGCAGCCTTTCCAAAATGTGTAGGCAGCTGCTGCTGCTCTTCCTGGATCCAGCTTCCTGCCTCCTGCTAGCTTTTATTGAATATAATTTGTTTGATCGATCGGACTTCGTGGCTGGGTGGGAAGGGGAGAGAAAGAGTGTCAGCCTTCGGCATTTGCAGGGAGTCCTCTGAGAGGCTGCTGCTGCTGCTGACAGAACAAGGTCTGCCAGTGGCCTGGAGCGACTACCAGCATGTCAATGTAAGGAGGGTGAGGTAATCGGATTCCCGGTCAAGAGCAGGCATGACCAGAGGAAAGGGGGAAGCAACCACTATGGTAGCTGATCCCAAATTGGCCCAGATACCTCAGGGTGAAAGGCAGTTCTTTTGCTGTCCAGGTTTCCTGAGCCACTCATCCCGGGTTCCTATAAATGTGAAATGTGATGAAGGAATGCATACATTTATATTTGCTCACATGCTGGATGTGTCCTATCTGGTGGGTGCAGTGTGTGCTGGATTATGATTCTCTTTTTGCATTCATCGGGCTGTTAGCTGGATCCTGAAGAGCAATCTGACCTGATCTGGTTTTGCATTGGGCCTCAGGAGAACCAGCATTATTCTAGCAGAGAAGGGAAAACGGGCAGCAGAGAGATGCTGATCCCGGGAACAGATCGGAATGGATCACCCATTAGAAAGTGGGGGAGAGAGTTGTTTCTGATTTTCTTTGCAGACGTTTAGGTATGCATTAATCATATAGACAAGAAATGCCAGATTTCAAGCCAGCTGGAAAGTTACAATTTCTACCTCAAGGTTGTAAGATTAAGCGTGGATCAATAACAGATACTAAACCACTACTTTCTTCACTTGGTTCATCACATAGCATGTAATTGGCTACATTCATACAACACAGCAATCAAAATTAAACACATCACCTTTTATTTCATCATTTTATAGGTCCCTGTTTATGAATTATGAGATAGCAAAAAGGCAAAAAGGTCTTTCTTGAGAACAAATGAGGGGAGGGGGTTCTTCCATTCTATCAGGGCAGCCATTTAAAACAAATAAGCACTCTGCCCCCCTCCCCCATTAACATGTGTCCCTGTCTCTCCTTCATGAAATGAAATGCACACGTTAACTCAGGAAGAATTCTTCAATTGGAGAGAGGGGTTGCAGGCGATGTTCTTTTTTTTCCGGGGTGGGGGGTGGGGTGGGGTGGACAAGCTGTCCAGTCACTGGGAAGATTGAGGTTAAGGCTGAAAGTACTGAAAGCAGCTTTCCCAAAACTCTGAATGCCTTTAGATTAGAAGATTTTCAGGAGCACAACTACCAATAATTTGCGGGCCTAATAAAAGAAATAACACCCTGGTCCTCAAAGGTTCTTATTCCAATTATCCCAGCCTAGAGTGAAAGGCCACAGTCCTTCAATCAAATCACCCAGTTACTGCAGTTTTTCTGGAAGTCAGACATAGTTCATTTAATGCCTAGGACAGTTTAAAAGAATTCCCTCCCCGTCCCCATTCCATAAAGCCTCTTTTAACTGGACATGAAATTTATCACCCGCTTCCGATGCAAATGGAAGAGTAAACACATTCCACAGAAATCAGTGCGAATCAGCAGGAGTGCCCGTGCGCGTGTGTGCGCACCGGTTCTTCTAATTGTCAGGTGTGTAAGGGCTGGAAGGAGGGGGAGGGGAACCACAATCAAATATATTTCTCTAAAAAATATTGACAAGAGTAATAGCCTCCTAGCGAAGACCTCGCGCCACGAGGTTCTGTGCCCGAGAGATATTTTATTGCCGGGTAATTATTCCCGATTCCCCCTCCTAACGAAGGGCTGTAAGTGAAAACGCTGCCAGAATCTATTAAATGTCGCCAAGACAGAATTGAAGTCAAACTGCTGCTGGGTTTACACGCCCCCTGTTGGAAAAGATCTTGTAATTAGGGAGAGCTCTCCCGCCGGAGGAGGCTGCAAATCAGGGCTCGGAGGCAGGGTGGGGGAGGGCTCTCGAGGAGAGCCGAAAAACATTCGCCTTTCTTCCTTGATGCAAATAAGGTTGCATTGAAACGACTAACCGAGAGGTCGTTATGCAACATACAGCAGATGTTGCCTTGCCTGATAGAAAAAAAAAAAAAAGAGCGGGGGTGCATATGAGAAAAAGAACCCCCCCCCCTTTGAGACTCCACTTCTTTTCAACACCTTTATTCACGCGCCTTCACTGACGTTAACAGCTATTAAAAGACAGGCAAGGCCCAGTTATTAATGTTGCACCGCCGTGTTTGCTCTCCCAAATGAAAGCTACGGTTGTCTCCATGCCAGCTTTTTTATTTTTGGCCCGATTTTACAATTAGGAAATCTGAGCCCCCCCCCCCATTTCTTCTTACTTAACATGGACCCGGTGTTTGGTTTGACCCATGGAATATTAATTAAAAAAGGGAAAGTAATATTTCCAAGGACGATGTAAGCTTCCAATTCTCATCAAAGTCTTAATCAGACAGAACTCAGTGGTCACTGGACTGCAATCCTAAACAAACGTACTGTATTTACTTGGAAATAAATTTTTGGCACTGGTTCTTAAAAAAAAATCAGGGTGGAATCAGATTGTACAATGCACCTATGGAGCCATTCTTTCTCTATCTGTAGTTATAAACTGTATTCAGTACAACTTACATTGGCCTACCATGTTTCAGATGTTCCTTGTTTTGCCTATATATGAAGACTTTGTCCATTTCAGCCAGCAAAAACTGCTTATTCTATTGCATCTTTGGTAATACATCTTGCAGTGGAAGCCATTCACCCTGACCCTGAGGCAGTCTCATTCCCAATGTTTTTAATAATGGGAATCAAAATTTTGAAAGATTTTGGCCTATCAGATTTTTTACACAGAAAGGTTTAAAGCATTGTTGTATTCATTTATCAGAATCTCTTGGCCTGAGTAGATTGAAAAGGCTGCTTATTGCTCTTTTTAATGTTAGGGTGATTCCAGTATATCACACAGGACAGCACAATGTTTTATTACAGGTCAAATCTACTTACCTCATTAACAATCAGGTCACTAAGGATTACTCTGAAACTCTACTGTTGCTGGTAATATGTGGGTTTCTCATCCCTTTTCTGAACAACAAACTAGAAGTGGAAATAGAAAGGGAAAGAGAAGACTATTAATGTACTTTATTCATATGTGTTGCCCTCTGATCAAATTCTTAAATAAATAGCATCCAGTTAAGTTGGATATAATCTATTCTGTAAGTAAGATTCAGACACAAGTAACAGTCAAAATTAATAATTACCCCATTGACATCTTTCAAGACACCTACCAGATAATCTTGAAGTGCCACATTTTATGTTTTTAAATAGTTTCTATCATTAGCTTTATGGCAAGTAATATTTATTTAATTTATTTTCAATCAACCCAGGAAACATTTCATTATTTCTCAAATGGGAGAACTGAATGCTAGACTGGCATATGAATTAAATGATCATTCTTTTTCTTTTTATTCACACTAAATCTTTTCAGGGTTCATACTGAAGTAGATAAACTAATGGTGGCCCTCTAATTTCTTCTCAAAGTCCCCAAGCATAATGCTCTTTAAGTGTTGCTCATAGAAAATCCTACTGCTAATGAACAGCATAGAAAAAAAACTAAACAAAACACCAGCATGCCTAGTTAAGAAGATCACCAAATATGATTCAGACTGAAGAGCCCTGGCAAGCAAACTCCACATTTGAAATCTTCCTTTTCGGCCACCCAGCTCCATCAACACAATTGAAAAACAGACACAAGTAATCAGGCACATTATTTGTCTTGCCAAGAAATGTTTGTAGGTTGAACCTAGAGCCAAGATGCTGTTCGATGCACAAATACAAGCGCAAAGCCCACTGTGAAAGCAGGAAACACCTCACTCTTAATCGGCTACTCCTTCAAGAGCAGCCGCAGCAGTGAGGACATCCCGGCGCCTGTCACTTCAAGCTTGTCTAGTCTTTCGGTCAGAAGCTATCACTCCTGCTGTGTTGCTTGCAAATGGTGAACAACATTCATATGAGAGTTTATTCTTGGCAACTCCCCCCCCCCCAAAAAAAACACAGAAGAAGGGTGGGAAGTGTGGCTTTCAAGCGTTAGATTTTCAGAGGAAGTCACCATTGTGAAAAACATTTGGCCTACCAGTAATAAATTGGTAGGTGGGCAGGCTCAGGTTTTTAACCTTTTCCTGTTTATTCAGTACAGAAACCTGGCACCAACAATAGGAAGGTTTGCAGAGAACCGCTTCTTAACTTTTAATTGTTAGCTGTATCATGTCAGGGATCCACTGACAAAGCATTCATGCAGCCGGAGTATTAATAACTAACCTGCATCCTGTCCAACTGAAACACAAGGCAGTTCAACACAATCCGCGGGAAAAGGAAGGGCCGGGGTGGGCTGTCTTTCTCAACCAACACTCCTCTATCCTTTCTAACCCAGGATCGCTCATCAGGAACCAAAGCCTCGAGCCTTATTTCCACATTTTTCTCTTTAGAAAAACCTCCAGTCTGACGTAATGTGCCTGACTCGTTACCAGTTCCCCTCTCAGAGGTAGGCAACGCCGATTGCCTTAAGGGCATAGTCGGACGCATTCATTCATAAAGACATTCTCTCAATTAGCGTATGGGAGATTAGCCGAGGGGTTGACTGAGTCGGTCTCGATTTAACACTAGAGGCTTGGGAGCAGCCCAGCGCTGTCGGATTTCCCCCACCCCCACCTTGTTTTAAACGGAGAAGAATAGAAATGTATGGGAAGCGGCTTTTTTACCGAATGTATATTACCGTCTCATCTACCGTCCTGTCAAAAAATCTTTTGGGGAGAGATTAGGTGCAATCTTCCCTCCCCCTTTTCATTTTTAAACGAACGTCTCCACTAGGGAATGCAAGCGGGCGTCTCGCCCTTTAAGTATTGCGCCAGCCTGCAACTCATTCAGGGCTAGGGTAGGAGGACTTTCCGCCATGTGGTTTCCTATTACTATGTCTGGAAACTGGAAACTACCCGCATTTCCCACTTGGCCGGGAGCTAGTAAGTTTCTGCCTAGCAGATTGTCAACAGCCCGGCCCCGCCCGCCCCTTTCACTCCCCGCCTCAGCATGCCCTGTGGAGGTTCCCGACTGCCACTCGCTTTCGTACGCCCGAGAGGTGGTGTGTTGCGGCAGCAAATGGCGCCTCCGTCTTCTTCCTTACTCAGCCCGAGCCCTAATCCTGCGCGCGATCACGCAAGCCGCTTGTAATCAACGCGCTCCCTCGCCAACTCCACCTCCAGCTGGAGAGGGAAGCGCCAGAGCGGGAACCCGTAATTGCTGGCGTTCAGCCACCTTGGGGTACGGCCGCACACTGGCTCTTTCTTCTCGGCCAAGGCCTACAAATGGGAGCTTGCCGTTGTGTAGTTGCGCTGGCTGGCAGCGCCAGGCAAACGGGTGAACGAGCGGCGGAAGGCAAGCCGGCCAGCCGGCCGGTTAACCGACCACAAAACACCGCGCTCCCCTCCCGAGGCCACGAGAGGCGGCTCTGCTCCTCGATCTTTGGAGCAGGAAGCGAATGTGACCAGCTGCCGCGCTCGTTCGCGGTTAGGATTGCCGGGAGAAGCTCAGTGCTGGCTGGGGGTGGCTGGGTCAAACGGCAAGGAAAAGCGTCTTTGTGCGGAACCTCGTCCGAGCTGCGGATAGAAAAGGCTTTTGTTTGCTCAGGCTGCCTCTCTCGGTCGCGCCGAAAATTGCAGCGTGAGTCCCGGGAGATACTGCCCTTGGCTTCCTTCCTGCCTGCCACGCAAAGGCGGCTGTGTGCGCCAGAGAGATAATCCCCGGCCACTGTGCAGCTGTCACACATGCCAACTGTCCTTGTCAAGGGAGGACAGGCCCGCTTGCTCGCTCGCTTTGCAAGGCAGCCTGCTTTTCTCAAAGCTGTCCCTTTAGCAAGCAAATCGCACAGCAGGTTTCCATGGAGGTAGAAGGGAGGCGGCGGGGGGGGGGGAAACACGAGAATGGTCTTATGATGAAACTCCCTCCTGTCGCTTGTGTGGCTGCGCACACACAAATCTCTTGTCATCTAGTAAATCGTCACCGAAGTTGTGTAGGCTCAGCGATTTATTCTGTGGCCAAAAAAATCCAAGTGTAAACTGACTCAAAGGCTGGTATTTCCTCCGTTAGACAGACGACTTGAAAGAAAATCTTGGTGACCTCGAATTGTGCCAATGTCGCAGCAGAACCGCACTCCAATTGTAAAGTCATTAATTTTCTGGCATCCTCTTATGTAATTGCTAATGCTAGGGTGGCCTTGCATTTGGCAATCAAGGAAAGGTTTCCTGTGTGTAGGTAGTGCATATGTGCATGCATATATGTATATATCTCTATATATGTTTGTGTGTGTGTGTGTGTGAGAGAAAGATATGCACACACATATGTACATATCTTATAGAGGGTGGGATGCAAGGAACAGTTACATTGGTTTGCCTGATGATGTCTAAATGATACTGTAAATGTGCTTAGGGTAAACCTTGGACTTTAGTTGCACTTGTAGCATAAGGTACTGACCAAAATGTGACAAATCCTAATGCTAATCCTTCTTACAATTCACAGTCTAGTGTAGGGTAAATCGGCCTACACTTTCTCTGTTTCAGCAACAGGGTTTATTTTTATTTTATCAATATGTAAAAACCTCATTTGAGGAAAGGCATGATGGGCTGTAGAGGTCAGGCTCTGTTGGATTATCTGAAGATAATCAGAGCATATGGAAAACTATGGTTTGGCATGTGGGAGGAATAAATGTGAAAAGCAGGGATTAGTGAATAAAATGAAACAAAGAAAAAGACAGTATAAGTCTATGAAACTAAATGGAAGAATGTAATAAATATGAATAAAGGTGGTCTGATACTGTGGGGAAAAGTTAATTAACACATGTAGAAAAGGGAAGATATAGGTTTCATTATGAAATATATGGGTTAACATATATGTCAGAAAGTATGACTGGTGTCTTCTATGTTATAGCAGGAACATATGAAAGAAGAAAATCATTGATAATAGTTGGATGTGATATTCAAGTGGTGTTAATTCTGAATTAATGCAGTTAATTAGGCAAAAGTATTCCTCTAAATGACATGAATGGATGGATGATAATGAAACAAGAAAGTGGAAAAAAATTATTGGGCTGTTTGGAGACCCAAGAATTGTAGTGACCAGAGAGTATATGCTTACAAAAAGGGTTTATTACTTTAAATTCATACTTTAAGCATGTCTGTTCATACATGCATATATAAAGGAATGAAAATACATTTCAGAGGTTCCCAAATTTTCTCAGTTCATTGCTTCTTAGTGTCTTAGGATTTTTTTTATCAAGCCCCAGGCCAAAATAGTGTTGAAAACCCAGCTTCCTAAATGGATAATGCCAACATTTCAAATATAGCCCAGCATCCTATAATTTCCATGTCTTGTTCCAGGGTGCCCCAGCACACTATTTGTGAACCATGGCTATCTCTAAAAGAAGATTTGGTTTGACTGCTTATAAAAAACACTTCAGAGAGTTAGTGAAAAATACAAGGGTCCAAGAAGCTCTGTGAAACAAGGCATTTTTTGTTATCCCAAAAATGTTCCATATGGAACCTGGGAAAAATGTACATTGAAAGAAAAGGAAAGTAAAAGAATCAAAAGTAAAGACAAAATAACTGCAAAAAAGAATGTAGAAGTCATAAATTAAAAAAATGCAAAATAGATCAATCTTCCAAGAATGAATGGGATTAGATCTAAGACAGAGAATGTGGAAACTGCTTGGAAACAGAGTTAAAAAATTATTATAGAGTGCCATAAAATATATAGGACAATAGGAACTATTTAAAAAGGTCCTTGAAGGAATGATAAACTAAAAAAAAACACGGACAAGAAAAATACATAAATGAGCACTATAAAAATAAGTAGAGAAATATATGGTATAACATAAGTAGAAAAGAAAATGTAGTTCACTCAGTGGCCTGAACCATGAGATGGGCTCAAATAAATTTGATTAATAAATAAATACATAGTTGTAAAGAAGATATTCAAAGATAGCAAACAATTATTAAACCTAAGAAAGAAAATTAGAAAATGCAGAGTGGTTTTTATAGAAATAAAAACATTGTTTTTGGGATAAGTAAAAAAGGCTAAACATGAACTTTTCAGCAGAATGAATTGAATTGAAAATAAATGTGATTAAATGATTGGGATAAAACAGAAATGGAATTTTAGAAGGGGTAACTTAAAGAATTATATGAAATTAAAACTAATGCTGTAAATATTAGTATCCAAGCAAATTATGATGAATAGGAAATTACAAATACTGGGGATCTGTAGAAAATGCATAATATTGTATATGTCAATGATATAAGTGAAGAAATGTGAATGTATTTGCTTATAGAGTGCCACTTGTTTAATATATATGAAGACTGCATCTATGTCTGATGATTGGAAGAAAGTTATTATTCCAGCATAAAAATGGAAAGATAGCAGGAGTGAATGCAAAAAGTATTCAGAGAATAACTTGTTAAATATTCCTGGGTAAGGGTTTAAAAGTATTCTAAATGAAGAGACACAAGTAGTGACAATAAGGAAAATATGAAAACAGTATAACTTTATACTTGGTAAAGTATTTGCAAAGAAGACTTTTGCTTAATGTTTTTATTGAAAAATGTGTGTGAGAGAGATAGAAACTTTACAGCAGGTTTTTTTTTGGGGGGGGGATTAGAGGAAGCATTTGATAAAATGAATAGACTTGAATTATAGGGTATTTTACATGAATATGATTTGAAGGTTGGTTACTGAATGTAGTAATAGAATGTAATGATATATTATGGAATAAAGTATGCATGAGAATAAATGGAATATTTAAATGGTCCAACATTGAGTAGGGAATATGAAAAGGATGTGTGATGTCCTCTGGGTTGTTTAATAAATTTATAGATAAATGACTGTTAGTGTTGACTCCTCCAAGTAGTGGTAATGGCAAATAACTTGTGGCAAGATAAATATGTGAGGAAAGCTAGTGGTCACCAGCACTGCAAAAGGATGGGTATAGAACCTTGCAAAGAGTAGGTAAAACATTGGCAGGGAAAATTCTGAAGACTGGACATTTGAGAGCTGCACTTTTCCAGGTCTAGCAGACTCCAGGAGGAAGCCACCTATCACTTCCTAGAAATAGCCAATAAAAGATCTGAAGGGCAAGCCAAAGACCCAGGATGATATATTTAAAGGACAACGCTAACAGACTTCTAGCATCTGTTGGTACTTTCATTTTAGATACTAAACTACCCAAATAGGAAAACTGAATCAAAGTAAGTAATGCCTAAATGTGCAAGAAAAGCTTGTGATGATGATACAGGTATGTTGGTTGGCTGTGGGTAAATATATGCTTTTGTATTCAGATGATGTGTGGTTGGCTAAGAAAACAAATTATTTTCTGGGAATATTAGATAATATAATGCCACAAGGTTTATTCACCTGAGAATTAAAGAATCAAAGACCAAGATACTGTAATTGTATTGGACAGGTGAAAATGGAACAAACAACTCAAGTTATATACATAAATGACCAAAAGAAACGAGAGCATATAGCTGAATCTATGTGCTTTTGTGTACCTTTATGTTAATTAACTCAGTGCTGCCCATTTCACTATCTAAAGTGACCTTGTAGAATGTTTACTGAAAACAGAAAAATGGATGAAGAAAATGTAAGACATGTAAACGCTGGTAGAAATGTTTTGGGTGGGAATGGAATGGTTAAAAGGAATGGAATTGTTAAAAGTAAAAAATGGCTACATATAACAGCATGCTTTAGTCTACTTTGGAGGTGAAAGCTGAATGTACCAGAAGAAAAGAATTTTGAATGCAGTGGAACAGAATATATAAGAATTGTGAGTGATTAAAAAAGAAATGTTAAGAGTCAAGAATGAATGATGTTGAAAGAATGTGGACTGAATACCAAAGTGAATGACCAGTACAAAAGATGTATGTTGAAGTGGTTTGGTCATGAATGAATGAAGATCAGACTACAAAACAAAAATATGAAGGGTGAATGGGTCAAGAATGGGAAGATTGAGAAAGTCATCTCAAAAAGACAGATGTGAGAAGCTTAAAGAATAACATCTGTGCATTAATACTTGGGTGAAATGTAAGAGTAAGAGTGTTTTGGAATAATAGAAAGGTGTGGTTACATGTATATGTGTATGTGTAATGTATGTATAAAATAAAGCTAATATAAAATGTGCTGCCCCTTTTGTCAATCTCTATCCTGTCTCTACTGCATCTGTTCCAAGTCACTGCCAAATGCTATTATCCTGATTTATGAGTATGCCGCTGGTTATAGGTCATTATATAGCAGGAAAAAAAACCATACACTAATCATGGCACTGCAGCACGAATGGGATGAGTCTGATTTTGCCAAGTTTCTCTGAAATGGTTTGTCTGCCCCACTTCCTACAAACCATGTGGGCATCTCTCAAGGTAAACATAATGCGAAATAAGGAAACATATGGAAAGACCCAAGGGCTGAAATAGCCCCAGAAAGGAGCTATGATTATGCAGTTTGCTAAGTCTTGTATTGTAAAATGGAATTTATGTTAACATGCAATGAGGAAAAATGGTCTGCTGAAGCAAGGATACATCTGAAAACACTATTGAAATGGCAGAACTCATATGCCTCATCCTCAAATAAAATACTGAAGCTCTCCTCTTTGTTGGAAAAGATTATTTCAAAAGTAGGGATGGAAGAGTTGATATTTAAGAAAAAAATGTGCTAATGCAAAGACTGAATGCTCAGAGAGAAATAGTGAAACTTAAGTCTGGTAGTGTTCAGAAGCATCTTGAAATAACTGCATCATGCAGGATTCCTGAAACACACCTTTAATCATGTCCACAACAGATCAGCCTACTTCACCTCCAAAATTAAGGG